CCTGCAGTTGTGGGAGTGGCATGTTACCCTACTTAAACCCCCCTACTCACCTTCCTCCGTCCCGAACATATTTTTAGCGATTCGCATGTCCCCACCCTCCACTCCCTCTATCTGTACTTTTCATTACACCTCATGGGTGGGCCCTCTTTTATTACAGGCCTACCACGACGTCGGTTCGGGCACACCACAACCGACTTATTTCCCCCCTTTATTTCCTATACGGCCTTATTTGCCCCTCACACAACCCTGATATTCTAGAGACAAATTCACTATCGCTCTGCCTATGTTATTCTTTAGACATAGCAGACAGTTCTGTGTCAGTAATCAAATTCCATGCCTTATTCCTTAAATTAGCAATATCATAATTTTTCTCCATTTTAAATTAATCAAAAGTAGAAAATTAAAACCTATCCACACCAGGTGCACATTGTACAACCATTAGCAACATATGTGCATTATTTGGAAACAATTTCTCCAACTAAACTCTGGGCTTTAAGTTCATTTTTAACCCATTCACTTAATGAGGCTGGCAGCCAGATCAAACGACATCTGGTGGCTACCACATCAAATTTTCTCTTATTCATTCATTTCACCTTCAAAAACACTCATATTGTAAAAAGGTCCTCTCTGCTCATCATATTTAGTCACATTTTTAATCAATTTGGCTAATTTGAGAGTATCATCTGACCATTTCTTTGCACAATTTCCCAATTTCTTTTCTATGTCTTTTCTTCTCTCCTGCCCTTTTCTCACAACTTCCTCTGCACCATTTCATTATCAACTTCCACTTTCAAACTAAAATCCAAATCTTTCTGATTTTTCCACAAAATATCTGTATCATTCCCTAGATTAGCAATCTATCTTTGCAAGTTGTCAAAATTAGTAACATTTAAGTCTAGTTCTTAGACATGTGAGACATCGTTTTATGGGTTCTGTCTAACAAATCAGTCCGATTCTTAAGCATTTCTTTCATTATATTAACATCTTAATTTCTTTGACGTGACTAAATCCTTTCAACGACTGCCGAGAGTCTGAGTTTTTGTTTCATTAATGTCGCATGCAAAAGAGAGCCATGGGGTGTGATTTCCCTTCTTTTAACAAAGTCTGAGGAGATTTCACAGTTTAGCTAGGGGCTAGGTAAATTACTAGACCTTGCAACAACACATATTTTTTTCAATTGTTTTTAACAACACATTTCTTTTTTGTTTCAAAGTATTACAAACATAACAATTACTGGTCTATTTAAGTTGACACCATTCATTCATAGAATCATTAGTTGCCAGAAAGCCCTTTGCCAGTAATGCAACATTTTTGACTTTCCTTTTTAAACACATTGCTCTGCTCAATATCACTTAATCTGTCTAACCATTTCAATACACAATTATCTCAAGTATTTTCAGGATTAACCCTTTTACAGACAGATCTCTGTTACATGTGGCAGCAGTCTTTTACAGCCAATCCATAATTAACTAAACAATTAATACAATTTGTTTAACAAAAACAATATACATATGAGCAACTTCTACAGACGTGTAACAAAAGACACATACCGTTGAAGTATTTTGGGTTTCCACCGATCTGCGCATTATCAGATGGAAGAATACTTTTTGGAGAATGTAGTTATTTCTTGAGAATCCTCCGAAATGCAAATATTCGATCATCAAGTCGTCATAACAATATTTAATTATGGATAAAAGGACTCTGCTACTCGTCTCAATTTATTATCTTCAAATTCTTCCTCCAGTACATGGGCGTCCGCAGAAATTTTTCTGAGGCATAATTTTATTTACATCCATGCTCTGCTTCTTTCTGAGAATGCCAGGAATACAAAGCTGTATTCCTGGTACTATAGCACCCTCTGCCTCCCCTCTCCCTCCTTACCTCCTCAAATATAATAAAATCTTACTTTTATTCCAGTCTGCAGTCACACTGTGCAGCACTGCCCTAAGAAGCACCTCTACTAGCCATATGAGGAGTGGCCAGTGGATGTATCCCTAGGCAGTAATGTAAACACTGCATTTTCTCTGAAAACACAGGGTTTACTGCAAAAAACTTGAAGGAGCTGATTATACTCACCGGAGCTAATATAATAAGCTGTAGTTGTTCTAGTGAGTAACTGACTATAGTGTCCCTTTAATGTAAACATTATTCAATACACCACATTAGTCATCACCCATGCTCAAGGCACTATAACCAAATAAAAATTGTAGAATCTGCATTTGGTGTTAACATAAACAAAAAATGACAACTAAAATACATGACAACTGTATTTATTCTGAAATGTATTAAAATAAACATTAAATATACTAATTATATATACATATACACAGTGCATGCATATCTCCATTTGGCAGTCTGATGGGTGGGTCTAGGTGTGACAGATGCAAGAAGAACGTTACTTCCCTGACTGCATTGTGCCAACTGTAAATTTTGATGGAGAAGGGATACTGATATGTGGCTGTTTTTCAGGGGTTGGGTTAGGCCTCTTACTTCTATTGGAGGTAAATTTTAATGCTTCAGCATACCAAGACATTTTGGAAAATGCTATGCTTCCAACCATGTGTTTTCGCTTTACCTAGCATGACTGTGCCCCAGTGCACAAAGCAAGGTTCTCAAACATATGATTAGATGGTTTTGGTGTGGAAGAACTTGACTGGCCCACTTAGAGCCCTGACTTCAACCCCATCGAACACCTTTAGGATGAACGTGACTGGACTGGAGATAACCGTTGTCTCCCAAATTGGAAAATAAAACAAACTTTAACAGAATAACGGTTGTAGATTAGGATCTGTAAACATCTAAGCTCAAATTTAAAGCAACACTATAGGGTCAGGAACACAAACATGTATTCCTGAACCTATAGTGTTAAAAACATCCTCTAGTCCCCCTGCTAAGCCCTTAATATAGTAAAATCTTAACTTTATTACAGTCGGCTGCTACTGGCTCTGCCTCTGATCTGCCTGCCTGGCTAACATCATCAAACATGTTGATCAAAAGCCAATCACAATGTTTGCATTTGCAGTAGCTTTTAACAGTTTTTGTTCACTGGTTAGTGATCTCAAAAAAGGAACTGCAAACGCCTGTGGTCTTGTGCAAATTTATCAATTACTTTGCCAATCAGCTGCTGTTTGTTTTCTTCAATTTTTGCTTAATGTATGCTGATCATGCACAAACCCGATAAGCGATCATCTGCCATGGTCGACCTCAACCAGGTTTTCACCCTTTTCATTGTGCTGAATGACCGTTCCACTGTACAAGTGGTCACTGGTAAAGTGAGAGCAACAAGAATTGCTTGCCGGACTGATGAAAATAAATCTGTGTGGTTTAGCAAATCTAAAAATCCATTATCAAACTGTTCTACCTTTGTTGACCAGATCTCATACCACGTGATTGCTTCATCATTTGTATTACTCAAGTGTCATTTTTGCCATTTGTTTTTGGTACAGTGAAAACAGACTGAAATTTTTCTTACTATCACTGCCAAAGCGATTTTCTAATGCTGAAATAAGAGTCCATGTATGGCACAAAGATGGATTGTCGATAGTATTCTTCCACTGAAGAGCAACTAAAATTAGAACAAAATACTTGTCGACCACACAGTCTGGGAACAGAAAGTTTGATGTTCAAGATTTCTGCCATTCTTTGAACACTTGAATTGCTCTTCTGCTTTTTCTCTATGTTCATGGAACACGGTCAGAAGGTCTTGCACGTGATCAAAGACCTGGAGAATATCAAGCTGAACAGCTTGGAGAGCCTAGCTTACGGATTCCAATCTCAAGGAGTAGTTTGCAATGATATTCAAGCAAAAGAGGAACCTCACTGTGTTTGAAGAACATTGCAATTGATGTGCGTCCTGACATATTTTGCCAGATGCTGTAGTGACCTGGAAGCTTAATTGTTGAAATTTTTTTTTCAAAGTTAGAGCTAAAAATTCTAATGCTCTTATATTTCGCTGTCCAGGGTGTTTCACTCAGCAATAGCACATTGGGAATAAGATCTTCTTTTTGGACTCTCACGGAAATACTTGATTATGGCCTTCACTGTGCCAACAGAATTCAGTATATCAGGAACAGCATTCAGGTCATTCACAGCCAAATTCAATTTATGTGCAGCACAATGAACAAAAGTAGCTTTAGGGTATTTTCTTTTTATTATGGCTTTAACCCCACTTTCCTTCCCTGCCATTGTAGAGCATCCATCATATCCTTTGCCATGGAATTTTTCTAAGTTTAATCCAAATTTAGAACAGGAGTCCATAATCATATTTTCAATTGAGGTATCATCCATTTATTTTAAGGTTGCAAATCCAAGGGATTCTTCTTTGATGACAGCTACAGTGCTACTAGTGTCTACAAAACGTACTCCAATTGACATCTGTTCTTTTCCAGATATGTCAGCACTTTCATCAGCAATGACTGAAAACCCATTTGACCTATTGACTAGTTAACCAGATCCTCTTTTCAAGTTTCTTTGCACAAGGCAATCAATTCATTTTCAACTCGAACTGATGTGTACCGTGCGTTAAATGGGGCATTCACCAGATGGTTCTTTAGGACTACATCTCCTGCTTCAATGTGAAATTGATAAAGACTTTGAACATTTCCACTTGTACTTTTTTTCCCACGCAAAGCTATGTCATGAGTGCCACAAAATAAGATAGTGGATAGAATTGGAAATATCATTTACAGGAGCATCGAGATGGCTATGTTCTGTTGGCGCTGCAACTGGATCTGCAGAACTGCTTGTGCTTGGTTCTGCCTCTCATTCACCAGATGTCCAGATTCTTCTCTTCCTTCCTTATCAGATTCAAGATCATCCAATTATATTTTGGGGAAATATTTGCGGATGTCCATTTTTAAAAAGAAATTGGGATCATTAAATTCTCTGCTGTATTCAATAAACATGTTGTACATTAGAACCAAGCTGTTTTTGCATAATACATAGCTTTAATGGAAAGATGAGATTGTAAACCTTTAAACTTTAATTCACCTACAATGCACTATTTATTGAATACAGCCCCATGTGTATGCAGTGTGTGTGTGTGTGTGTGTGTGTGTATATATTTATATATATATATATATATATATACATATATATATATATACACATACACACATGGGGCTGTATTCAATATAGTGCATTGTAGGTGAATTATTTAAAGTTTACAATCTCATCTTTCCATTAAAGCTATGTATTATGTGTATATGTGTGTGTGTATATGTATAATGTACATACAAACATAAATACATTACATACACATAGCTGATACCCAGATCAAGCTGGTTCTTCTCACTTTAAAGGTTGCAGCTTGCTGTGGCTGGCTAGCTTTCTGCTACGGTTGGCTGGCTGGTTTTCAGCTGTGGCTGGCTGGGTGGCCAATATAGCTGGCTGGCTGGCTTTCTGCTGTGGCTGGCAGGGCGATGAGACTGGCAGGCAGGCCGATGTGGCTGACTATAAACATATATATATATATAACACAAGATCCAACGCACTCACCTATCCACTAAACAGCAACTTCAATGTTGGAAGATTTTATTAGTTTTTTTAAAAAACACCTAATCTAGGCAAAAATAATGGGGGTTTAGTTACATTATATGATCATACATTGCATAAGCGCTGGATCTTGTGTTTTGTATTATTTGGCCCCCAGCAGCACCCCCATTTATGCATGTTCAGGTGAGTGCAGCCAACCCCCCCTTGTTTCATTTATATATATATATATATATATATATATATATATATATATATATATATATATACATTAAAAATGGAGACTAATGGGCCCTTGATGGGTGTCTCTCCAACAGAGAAATTCTCAGTCCATTAGAGAGTAGCTTTTAGAAAGAGTCCCCCTTTAAACCCCATGTGAATGGCAGATATGACCGGCTGCTGTGGCCGACAGCAGCTGTAAATGGCTGGCACGTCGCTATGACTGGCAGGCTTTCAGCTGTTACTGACAGTGGCAGGCTGCTGTGGCTGGCTTTCAGTTGTGGCCAGCTGGCAGCTGTGGGTGGCTAACAGGCTGCTGTGGATAGCTAGCTGGTTGGCTTTCAGCTGTTGCTGGCAGACTACTGTGGTGGAAAGATGGGTAGCTGGCCTGGTAGGTAGGTAGGCTGGCAGGTTGGCTTGACAGACTGGCTAGGTGGCTTGGCAGGCCAGAAGCCTGACAGGCTGGCAGGCTAAATTAATAACTATGATAAACTATCTATAATGTGGCACACTGGCACTGGCAAGGTTTCTTGGCAGACTAGGGGCCAGGGGCAGGGCTACTACTAGGATAGATGGCTTATGGCTAGCCTAGTACTACTGACAGTTAAGAAGATGCAGCAAGGCTGGCTGGAACCTGGAAGTGAAGACTCACTGCTGTCTGCCAGGCTGTCTCTTTTACCACACTCACACAGATCCTTCCGCGCCTTGCCTTGCTTGGAGTAAATCCCGGCCCGTGCAGGTCCACTGCCACAGTCGGCTCCTTCATTCCAACTACGATGCCCCTGAATGGCTGAAACAGGCAGCATCTAAACTGCAGTCAGAGCCCGAGGACGGCGCTGAGCCGTCATTTTGCAACTCAGGTGAAAAATTAGACTTGTCAAATTCAGGGGGGAGCACTTGCCTCCCCCTGAGGATGTTGCAGACTTCAGTGCAGAGCCTGTGGACTGCGCCGGTCATCTCGCGTTTGTACTTGAGCTCAATTAAAGCACAGGAAAATTTCACTTGCCAAATCCAGGGCAGGCACTTGTCCCCCCCGCGGACGCCCATGCTCCAGTACTGGGCATAACAACCACGTTCAAATGATTTTCCTCCTGCTTACCTCTGCCTTCGCATAGTAACTCTGGAATGTTTAAACAAAGGATCATGCAGCTTCAGTCTTATATGTTTCACCTGTTTCAAGCCGGGTACTAAAACTTTTTGAACTTTTCTTCAGTGATCTTCCTGTTATCTTCTTATCTTCTTGTAGCAAAATCTTTAAATATTCAGTCAGTAATAATTCAGACTTAATCATGCCCATACTTTCTCCACCATTAAATGTAGGAAATTAGCTTTTCTTGAGATGTTTGTTTGTCACACACAAGTGTTTTAATAATCGAATCAGAGTGTCTTGCAGCTAAAAATGTATATTTATTCAAACATACAAAAAATCTGAAAACAACATAAGTCATAACTCAGTGAAGACTGCATTTACCATCCTGCAGAAACACCCATCACTCTCAGGTACTGACTGAAGCTTGGAAGATACTCCACCTCCCGTATTATTGGATTGCTGCAAAATTCTCATGTGTTACTATAGAGTTGTTACAATTGATACCTGTAGTTTGCCACTGTAATGTTATGTGCATGCAGTGTGTACCACTGTCATTTAATGTTTGTGACCAATATTTCATGTAGACAGTTATTAATATTTTGGGTGATAGAATTTGATTGCTAAATTTTTCAATAGTCTATAACACATGCCTACTCTGCCTTCCCCCATCCCCCTCTCACACTCTCCTTTTCCCCTCCCCAGTCATAAATACCTTAATTGACTGTTCTATCTCTATTCCTCAGGCCTCACTTCACAATCAACTCAGTGAAGACTGCATTTTTTCTCCCCACTTAGCTCAAGACACCCCCAGGCACTGGACGACACTCAGTCCTGGGAGCTCTAGTCCTTTACAAGGACTTTCCCCATTGAATCCCCTGCAACTGGAACAGCAGACACATGAGTAAATCTTCATTCCCTCCAATAACAGGATGACACAAAGTTTTGGAGTGTAAGCTGGAATAGATTTTAATGGTGCCACACTTGGCTTTTTATGCAAGTCCCCCAGCAAGGGGTACACCCACGTGGACCTTGTTGGGGACAGGGACACAAATTTACAAACCAATAATAATACATTTACAATGTAAGGCACTCCCACACACAACACACAATCCCTCCCATCTGCTTGGGAGATAATTGGATCAGTAACTGTCATTCTAATCCAATTATCTCCGAGCACAAAAACACACATTTCTAAAAAGTACCCCAAAACACATGATATCCCCACAAATGTTACATCCCATGATAGCCCTGATCTGGGTGACCAACATATCCAGAAATCACCCATATCAGCTCAGGAAGTTCCTGAAAGTCATAATTTTGACCGACCGTGCACATGATCCTATACCCAAAACATTTCCATGAAATCAGTGCTAATGGTCGGTCAAGTTTGGTAGTCTTTTACAGGTTTCCCTGCAGGGCCCCTAGTCTGTGGGCAGGAGGCTGGCAAGCAGGCTCCTCCAGGAGCTCGTGGCAAACTCACTTGGAGAGGGGAGTTTGTCACACATGGATATGGATATCAATACATATCTGAAACAGAGGGAGTTTGAAGTAAAGTAAGCAGTATGAGGGTAGAAACTTGACCTTCTAAGAACTCTCATACCACAGAAAGTTGTGACTACATCTTGTCTTATGCTCAATGACTGATATGAATGTGATACAAGTGATGTATGAATGGCAGGTTAGCGACGTTGTGTTATGGTTTTAAGACAAATCATAAACAGAGGGAATGTAGAATATTGCATTTTCTATGTTTCTATTAATTAGATATGGAAGTCAAGATTGGCATAAGTAACAGATGGTATAAGTCACAAGGTTTTCTTGTATGAGAACTCTGGAATATGGATTGGGGGTTTTGTCCTTATGGCTAGAGTTATAGTCAGACATCAGTATGGGCACATCTATATAGTAACTGAACAAAGGGACACAAGATCTTTCTCAGCTCTTCTTCCTGTACAGCTATGTAACGATGTAACTCTACCTTCAGAACTTCAGCAATTTCCATCTGCTGTGGAACATCCATGATCGTGTAACATCCTTTGTTGTTTTATTATGTATCAGTAACTAAGAATAAACCTGAAGAAACCGTAAGTCAGATTGCGTATTTGTACTTTTCAGTAATCTAGAAGTATATTAATGTCGCGAGCCTTTAACCCAAGAAATATACATAAAAGAAAGAGAGAAGAAATGGAAATTATCACACAGACCTTAATATCTTATTTTATTTCCTTAGTTACCCTAATGTGCAGATATCGCAAATTCTTACCCGCTATAGCCAAAGACATTTTTCTTGTATATATTCTGACAATTGGTATAACTCTGGCAGCAAAAGTCAGTAGGCTTGTGAGTTTTTGAAAACTTTTAACTGACACTTTATTAGCGCAATGAACCTGGTGTAATAAAACAGACAACTTGTGAACTTGTCATACGGTAACCTACATTCACTTTTATTTGAATCTATCACAATTCCTAAAAATTGTAAAGACACCGAAGGAAGCACTGTTTTATTATTGGCTATCGGTATGCCAAACTCTTTTGCAATTGGACAAAAAACCTGCAATAACATACTATATTGATCCGTGTCTTCTTTGCCAATAAAAATAAAATCGTTTAACTAGTGAACAATTGATACAAACCTGTTTTAAATTTAATGACCCACTCCAAGAAGGATGCAAATAACAAGATAAAGAGCAGCCCATAGGTAAACATTTATCAAATACAAATTGTCCATTGATTTGAAAGCCTAGGTAATTAAAACATTGCATTGGTAATAGCCTAAATGCTGACTTAATTTCAACTTTAGCCAATAAGGCATTTTGGCAGCACACAAAGGCCCACTCAATAGCATCATCAAATGAAGCATAACGAACAGGAAACTGCTCCATATCGATCTCGTCATTAAGCAAATCTCTTTTTGGGAAAGACAAATGGTGGATAAGCCTGAATTCACCACTCACAATCAAACGGAACTTCATTAAACCAGCCTGAAACTCTACCTAAAACAATTTCCTTAACAATCTACTTAATCGTCAACTCTTTGTTAATTTCCAACAACTTTAAATTACTAGCCCAACTAAACCTCTTATTATAACTAGGAACTCTAAAAGCAAAACCTTCATAAAGAACTTTGGCCTTCCCCTGATTTGGGTAGGCCTTTAAATAATGAACCATGTTTAACAGATTCGCTTTTGCTTTGAAAATTACTGTTAAGACCAGACTTCTTGAAACATTTTAATGCAGGATGAGCTCCACCCAATTAAAGCATTCATGCTTGTATCTACAATTGTGCGGCCATTTACAGTGTGAGTCATTAAATGACCAACATACACCTTTTTTTTTGC